TTTTTGGTCTTTTTGAGACAGGGTCTTGCTATGCAGTTCAGGCTGGCCTTGAGCTCACTTTGTAGCCCAGGCTGGTCTCAAACTCTTAATGATCCTCCTGCCTCAGCCTCCCAAGTGCTAGGATTACAGATGTATGCCACCACACCCCGCTCAATATTACATTTTTAAATTGATTCATTTTAGTATATTTTACTATAAAACATCACTTTATTTGGGAGGGGGTTACCAGGAATTGAACTCAGGACCTTGCGCTTGCCAGGCAGGCGCTTGTGCCACTCAGCTATATCCCTGACCCAAAACATCAATTTAATTTCTTATAGCATATCACTTTTTAAAGGAAATACAATGTGTTTATCATTTTCATAGACATTGTTGATTCAAATTCTTTTTTATTATGAACAACACTACACTGAATACCAGTAAGTTATAGTATAGGGTAGACTGCTTCTGAAAGACACTGCATTGAAAATCATTAAGTTTTAGGTAGACTGCTTCTAAATGTGGCTCACCAACCAAACATTATTACCAGGGTCTGGATTATTTACCTCTCCCTCTAGAGTTAGAGTCTGGGTTCTTCTGTCTCAAACAAAGAATTGAACAAAACAAGCACAATACCAGTGACAAAGCACTTGAGAAAGTAAAAGTGAAGACTAGGGAAGCAACTTGCTCTGCAGAGCAAGCCAGAGCCGAGGAAAAGGAGGAAAAATCATGAACATATACCCTAGGAAAAGCAAGGTGGGCTGTCATAAGGAAAAGCCACGTGTCTTGGTTCCTTTTCTCTCCTTGCTGAGACAAAATACCCAATGCCCAAAATTAAGGAAGGAAAGGTTTATTTAGCTCACAGTTTGTGGAGGTTTCAGGCCATACTTCAGGTTGGCTCCAAGGCAGAGTGGCACATGGCACAGGGCAACTGTTCATGGCAGTGGAAGATAGCAAAAGCAGCAAGAGCCAAATGGCAGAATGGTGGCAAGCAGCCTCTTTCTCCCCCTTATATATGCAAACTATTAGCCCCAGGGCGAGTGTAGCACTCACACCCTTGAAGCAGTCATAAACTCTAGAAGCCTGCCCATGACTGCATGAGGCTTTGGGAGGACATCCAGAACCAAACCATAACACCATGACAGCAAGTTCTTCTTGGTATTGGTGTGTCCTTTATACTGTCCAAATCTCGAGGAAATCCAGGAGAACTTCTACATATGGATCCTGGAAGGTGGTACTGGGACCCCAGCCTCAGGCTGAGGTCAGGTCTAGGCCATCCTATTGAAATCTGTTCCGGTTCTTCAGAGAAGTCCATGTGCAGGGCTTTGGGAACCTTTCTGCACATGTGTCTGGGATCTTGTAATTAACAGGTCACGCTTACTTTCCCAACCAGCTTTGCCATACCCTAATCTCCTATCTTATTTCTTTCTGAAAGACACAGATCTCAATAATTCCTTATATGGTGCTGAGGGAGTAGAAGTAACTGTCTTCTATAGCTTCTTCAAACTGAGCTATATCTTTGGCCCTCTCATCATGGTTTTGACTTGCGTTTCTCTGATGACTAATGATGTTGAGTTCTTTCATGTGCTTATTGGCCACGATTTTTGGAGAAATGTCCATTCAGATGTTTTGCTTATTTTTAGTTGGGCCATTTGTCTTTTTACTGAGTTTTAAGAATTCTTTACATTGTCTAGATACAAGTCCCTTACCAAGTATATGATTTACAGATACCGAATTTTCTTTTATTCTTTGGGTTATCTTTTCGGGTTCTTGATGGTTTCCTTTAAATCACAAACATTGTTAATTTTGATAATGGTCTATTTTATTCAGTTTTTCTCTAGTTGCTTTTTCTTTTTTCTTTCTTTTCTTTTTTAGTTTTTTTTTTTTTTTTTTTTTTTTTTGAGACAGTCTTGCTATGAAGTTCAGGCTGGCCTTGAACTCACTATATAGACCAGGCTATCCTCAAACTCCGAGTCTACCTACTCGGGATTATGTGCTCTCCAACTACCTTGAGGTGTTGTGGCTCACTGGCTGGGTTGAAGAAAGGAAATCCTGTCAGGAAACAATGAGAAAAGGTGTAATGACCATAGACCTTTACTATTAGCCCAAATATGAGAAG